TAATCCAAGACATTAGGATGCTTAAATTCCTTGCTTGAATATTGGTTGGATAAGAAAGCAAATGGTTAGCAGGCTGGACCAGGATTTCAAGGGTGAGAACTCATTTGTTCAGTCCAATCTTATCATCACAACCGGAGTGAGAAATAAGGTAGAAATACAGTGCGCTCTTCCAAGCCAGGTAATTTCGTACGAATGAGTGGCGATCCAGGTATGTTAAGCACCAAAGCCTCGAACCATTGTATGAGTGGTACTAAATAGAGTCAACTTCAGAGTGAAATGTGAAACAAACTCAACCAAACACTAAAAATACCTTATTTTCTTGTGACTTGATCAATCTAACAAATTCCTTTTCCTCTATTTCCTTGAACTCATCAAGAACTGCAATTTCTTCAAATTTATCCAGCATGAACTTTTCGCATTTTTCCATCAATTCTTTGTAATTGTACAGGTTTGCGATTCTTTTTGTCACAAAGAATGATTCTGCAGATGTTTCGAGATTTTCTTCAAGTGAATCAACGATACCTCTGCAGACATCTGTTATAATAAAAAAAGGCGTATTATATATCTTTTTTACTTTTATCTATGAGCAATAACACATATTGACTTGTCCCCACAACATTTATTGAATATTGTTCTTTTGTAACTTTTACATGCAATGTAGCGGAGTCATACAAGGTGGCCCAAAAACAGAACCTAGGTCATTTGAAACATATTCTAGAGAGAAAATAACTTTAGATTACAGAAACTTTCGGGTACAATTATACGCAAACAAACTTCAAGTGTTAAATAGTTGACATGGAATGACAATTGATAACTAATGACATAACCAAACCAAAACCAAAGAAATTCAGACCCATGCAAACCAAAAGCTCTATTTGTGGGGGGATTGTACGGTTAATTTGAATCACAGAGGATTGAATGAATCTCGGTACAATCTCAAAGAAAGATCTCTTTTAAATCATCACCTTTCAACTGTAGTAATTCAGACACGTACATCAAAGATTCAGCATTTTCATCAGTAGTAAACAATTCACCAGTGTAAATAAATTCTACGCATTGTTGTAGGGACAGTGGATCAACTTCTTTCATTTCCACTTTACCAGACGCTGTCTCAGCATTCTGAAGTGTGATGAAGCCAATGATAAAAGCTACAGCAAGTGTTGCGTTAATTAGCTTCTATGATATGGTATTTTCACAACATTTCTGACATGATGTTTTAGGGAAAAAGATTATTGCAATATCAATAGACATTGCCTTTTCACCCGAGTGCAAGATGACGTGTTGATGGATGCATAACTCGGGATTGCCTATTAGGACAGACAGATTAGTTGACAAGTTTAATTTGCTACACTGGGTCTCAGGAATGCGCTTTCTAAGAGACCTCTGCGATAAGTGGGTTTAGATTTCATATGATATAATTATGTGCAGACTCCTCGATTGTTAAACTACTAGCAGTAGGTTCACATAACGATTGGTCATGCACAAATCCCTCCATTATTAAGTCGAAAAGGACAAAACTGGCCAATTATTCCAAGAATGAAAGAAATACTCAGAATGAACTGCTAACCGAACTAAATCATCCCTGATCATACCTAGAATTTGAATTCACAGGGAAATCAGTGACGGGATGATGCATGTCTAGGGGAAACAGTCAAAAACAGCAAACATCAATGAACGCAACTTACATTATGAGCCAGCATTGCTTTGAAATAATCAGATCCTACAGATATAATATTCTTATGAACTTGGATTTCTTCAGAGCCAGCTATGATCATGAAATCACAATGATCCCGAGTTTCCTTTCTGCTTCTGCAAAATTATATTTTAAATCAACATTGCGCTAATTACCTTTGCTAATCAGCACAGGATATCACTGTGTGAATTTACAAGTATTAGTGCAGGGCCGGGAAGCTGGTTTGAAATCACTGCGGTTTCACTGACGCTTCATTTTTCACTTCGCTTTTGAGCTTCAGAGCCAAGGATGTTTTTTTGGCATGAACACTACCATGACGAATTAACTCAGAAGTCAGAACGCAGGCTTGCGTTAAGCCAATGATACAGGGATTTCAAATCGTAAAGTTAACTTTTAATTATACATACTGAACTAATTTAATTTTGAAATTTGAGTCTCGCTTCCACGAAACTGTACTTGGGCAGATATGATATGATCTTAGTAGTGGTTGTTAACTGTATTTCTGGCAATTAGTATTTTCCCAGATGGTTGAGCACGACCTTTGATGTCATCAGTTACAGGTGACTGATCATCACCAACCAGCTGTGAAGGTGAAAGCGTGACGGTGTGGCTCATAGGCACGGTTGTGTGTCTCATCGTGCTAAGCGTTAGGAATACGCTGGCCACCGCATCTCTGATTACCCTGCATGGGTTCGCAGGTTCGAATCCCATGTGGGGTAGTTATGTGCGAGAGGATTGCTGGACTCCTCGCCCTCTTATGGTGGTTCACGTAACCGCTGGTCGGTTACAGCCTCCTCCACCATCAAGTCCTTGCTTCCGAAAAACAAATAAATAAAACTAATCCCATACCCGACATGGACTGGTAACCGGACGAGAGGCCGTGGTTTGCCATATGGTTAAGTCCTCTTATCGGCTTTCCTCTCCCCCGGGATAAATATGTACCGTATATTTTCGCACATACGCCAAGTTTAAAACACAAAAAAAAAGTTGCCAAACTAAGGGGGCGGCTTATACTCGCATAACTCAGATTGCATAAAAAAATCGACTCATTCGCGCATGACTTTGATCACGCAACGAGATTGACATTTAGCTAACTTGCCGGTAATTCCAAAAGCTTCAAACCGCACTAAGTTCTCACGATAAAGAACGCACACACACAATCGCTTGTGCCGGTGTGATTGTCTCATCATTCAGCTGATGGCTCGTACAGTCTGGGATTGGTTGTTAAACACGTGACGCTTGTACAGTCTGATTGGCGTCGATTTACGGCCAGCGTTTCGTGGTGAAACGTTATCATTTAGTGCACTATCGCGGTACAACGCAAGTAACGGCGCCCTCATTTTGATCACCTTTACGATATGTTATCCTTTTCAGCTGCGCTGATAAAGACTCTTATCTCCGTTATAATTGAAATATTTACCGTTACATATGCATGACATCGCTTACGCTGTTGAGGTGATGACACAATATTTAAAATTAAATGATAAATAAAATTATTCAAATCGCATTACGGAGCAACATCGAAATAATGGAGCTTGTAAATATGTCACAAAACGATATTCATTCTACGACATTTGAAAATCCTTTCAATAGCAACTTCCGAATCAGCGATTTATGAGAATGTGTTAATACAACATTCGATTTAAAAGAAATTGTTTTATGCTGATCCCTTCTGTTTTATCCCTTCATTAATACAAATCACCGCGCATTGAAAAGCAATATAGACGTTATTAACATAAATTTACAAGTAAGAATCAGGTAGAATAATACTCACAGTCACAGCATTAATTCTTAACAATAAAACTGTAATTTCAATTATTTTGAACAACCATTTAACTGAAAAGTTGAAATAACATATGAATATGGTGTGATAAATATTGCTGTACGTCCATGGGTTAGGCAACAGCTGTGTTTTCCGTTTTTTTCCTGAATCAGCAAAACGGAAGGGTCATAAATCAATTACATTATCTCGTGTAGCGTTTTCTTTCTGAAGTGCCGATATCGGGCAGGAAGTGCTTCCCACGTTTTTGTTTTTAAAGGATTAACACAAATAACAGCTGGTATACAAAGTCAATTAAATAATCGGCAGACACTTTGGCATACATTATAAAATATATCAGCCCATATATGAAGCTTACACAAATCATGTTTGAGAAGACTTGCGGGATATCTCGACTACGTTAATATAAAATAAGGATTGTAAAATATTTTCAATCAAAAATGTTCTCATGTCATACATTCGGTACTTGCTGATTTAATTCCTTTTATGTTGACAGTAATCCGCAAAGTGCTGTCTTCCATTACGATTTGTAGAAACGGCGTATATGCGAATTTTTATAAATTCACTATTTTGAGGCTGGTATTAGGAAGTCGGCTTATTCGCGAGATAGGCGTAATTTCGAGAAAATACGGTAAATCCTATCCTAAGTGGTCATGTGCATTCAGTAGGCTGGTGCACAGTACGGTTGGTGTTGCTTATGTGTTACTTTGGTTATTGCTTTGGATAATTATTAAATATACATTTGAACCGCTTTAACAGTGGTCACACTTAAAAATCCCAATCTGGGTATGGAGCCGAAGCCCAGCTCTTATGTAAAAGAACAAAGCACAAAAGCTTGAGCCTTGAATATTCTGTGGCTCCGTAGGTGGATTATTAAAAAAATAAATAAATAGACGAATGCACATAAAAGGTATTGATCAGTTAAGAATTGAATATTGATCAATAAATTTTGGGGACATCCCGCACCAATGCACAAATAAAAACTGTGGGAATTGACCTAGCGGCTGCAGCATAAAATTTAACTATGAGGGCATCGCGGATAAAAATTTTGGATTCAAATTCCATGCCACCCATTAGGTAGAAAATGCAGAACAGGAAAGATTCCAGTCCTTCCGTGATAAAGTAGCTATTTACATGTCCGGGACTTTGCTTGTGCAGAGCCTTACTTGGTGTGAAAGGCATATTTCATTCCCATCACCATCAAGAGCTTTAGTCTTGTTAAGGAATTGGGTGACGGCAACCGGGGCCAGAGTAAATGACTGGATAAACAAATCTTGTGACATCTGCTAATAATAGTGATAAAAGATCTAGACCTCAAATTTTTAGTCCGATATCATAAAGCAAAAGTATGGAAAAAGTATAAATATTCGAGTACCTATGCTGTTTAGAATAAGTCATTGACAAAATAACAAAAAGATGAATAAATCAATTATTTTGCAACTTCTAATTTTCTAGAGTGAACGCCAAAAACAAGAGTTATATTAAATTCAACCAGAATTCCATTTTATTTCTTGGCTTGCAATGCACATACAAACTCATAATTTTCTCAGTGTGAACACCAAAAATCAGAGTTTTTTTGAATTAAACTAGATTCTCTCACTTTATTTTTTGACTTGAGAGACATGTATGCCCCAGTGAACACCAGAAACCGTGATTTTCTTGAAGCCGAATTTTGCAGTTCATTTTCGGCTTGTGAGTAAAAGACGCATATCTAATTGTCTTAGACTGAACACCAAAAACCAGAGTCTTTGTTGAATTAAAAAAAAAACTTCATTGTAGTAAAATTTACGCTCGTTGAGTTAGTGGAAAGTTCAGACTTGTTTCTATTTCTGGCTTGTGAAAGAGGCACACACTCATAATTTTCTTAGAGTGAACACTAGATTTAGAAAAAAACTCACAACACAATCACCAGTTGACCCGAATTATAGATAGATAAATCATATCTCATACCAGAATGAACCTTGCAACAACATAATAGCTGCTCCTATATCTGTGGCTGATTAGCTAGAGCTGACATAGGAAAACTACAGCCTGTTGGGTAATTCAATCTGGCCAGCCTGATGCTGCCACAACCAAACATAAACCAAATTCTGATGTTTTAGCTAAAAAATGGCTCAAGGAATTGGTTTGAAATTGCGGATAAATGTTTTTCAATTTTGCGTTTGTAACACTGCAAACATTGTTCATAAAATGGAAGTCACACTTACTTGGCCCGCCAGTCTTGGTAAGTAAAATTTTTGGCCCCTGGTTTAAAAACCTTACCCACCCCTGAGCTAGAGTCATGTTTGCAAAGAAGTCGTGCAACCACCCGATAAATATGTACACTAGAACATAGGTTCTCAAAGTGCCCATGGCTTTGAATGAGAAACCTAGGGGCTCCACGAGCTATTTGTTTACTTATGAAAATAAGTTATAATTGAAAAATGTTTTCAATCAAAACGTGGACGGAGGGCGCTAGGATGTGTGCCCGATATCAATTTTCACTAAAAACGATATTCTGAAGGTAGCAAATAGCAATATTGAATATTAAAGTCAAATTGAACATCCCTGGTCGTGATAGGTGCGTATGGCCTTCTACGATTTGTAGTGTTGGCTTATATGTGAATTTTTTATAATTCTCCACTTTAAGGGTGTTTTTTAGGGGATCGACTCATATGCGAGGATATATGGTAAGCAGGAAAGAATAGTTTATATCTGAGTTTGTCAAGAATGAACTCTTGTTCTTGTCCAAGAGGCTCATGAGGCTTGTTGAAGAGTAGTACATGCAAAAGCCATCACATGGTGCCAGTCGCGATGACCATATTATTTTTGTGTGAAAGGACCGGCATGATCATTTCTTTAACAGTAATGCATCTACTCATTTGTTTGTTGGCTTTTTAATATTAAACGTGGCAAATATAAACACTGATGGTAAGGTCTTAGAAGGAAAATCAGGTATTACCGTATATAAATGAAGTGTTTGTCTCACCATCAGATGGCAAATCAAGAAAATTTTCATATAAACAGTTTTAAATCATTCCCGAAATTAAAATTTGATATATCAAATGAGATTTGAACCCAAACTGTGTTACTTGCAATGCCAATACAGTAATGTCCAATGCTTTAACCCAGTGGTTCCAAATCTTTTTCATAAAATCCCCCCCCCCCCTTCCGTATTTTGGAACTCTTATTCCTCCCTCACTACATATTCAATAATACTTTACTAATTCAATCTTTAATAATGAATCCTTACTAATACCGGAGACATTGGAGCAGTGTTCACTATTAGCGC